TTATTACTCGTAATTTAACATTCTTTCATATATAGCTTTAGGTTTAAAAAGTGAAATCCTAATGTTAAGAATCGTTTCCTATGACCTTTAAGTCAGAGCTTCACATGCGACACATTGGACGTGCATTTTAAAATGAAGAATTGGATATTACATATCAAATGGCGATATTTCTAATTTTATTAGATTTTACATTTAATTTTGTTTTATTTAGAAAAGTCTCATTTTTCATGTTTACATAGAAGTTAAAAAAAATCCCACAATTTTAATTTTTTGTTCAAATTCTCGAAAAATTGGGTTGGTTGGTCTTGAAAATCAACTAGAAAAAAAGTGGCCAAAACTAACTAATTCAATCTAAAATGCTGGAAAATGCACCATTTGGAGCCATTTTTAAACGAACCCCCCACTTATGGGAGGGGGACACCCCCTCCCATGCTCTCCCCCTTCGGCCCTACGGGCCTCAACCCCCCCCCCCCACATGAACTTCTGGATACGCCACCACTGTTAAAAACATTGAAGTTTCTGCGACTCTTAATCTTTTACCATGAAAGTTGGTCATGGTAAAAGTCATGGAAAACTTTTTTAAAATGCTGATGCAATGTTGAGAGCGTGTGATCTTACCTTTATCTTCAATTCACAAGAAACCTTACAGTAGCTTTGTTATAACTACCACTTTCAAAGCCCCTCTTTCTCTTTCCTAATCAGCACGATAGCGCAATATTTCTCTAAACTACAAATAAGATCTCGGATCGACACAAAATTGCAGGGAACCTTGTAAATACTTACCAGAAATTGTCATTGTTACAAATACCTACAGTAGAAATTATGTACTTTATCTACAAGAAGGAAAACTTCAGCAGTGGTCATAATTTCTGTACAGATGAACAGTGACGTAAAATATACATTTTACTTTGAATTTCTTCCGGTGTCATTCATGAGAAATAGCGATTTTCGGTATTAATATTGCATGTGTGAATTTAGTTTATGATAGTAACGATTAATTTGTTGCAAAAAGTTGCTTCTTTAAAACGTATCTGTTCTTTCTGGATACGGATCCATACCGGCCTTGTAGGTTATCCATATGATATATACAAAACAATTTCGACTCTGCATTTTTTTTTTATCTTGCATTAAGCTAATTTACAGTTTCTGTAACTCTTTCAGAAAATAAAAGAACTTAAAAAAAAAGTTTATCAGAAAATCAACATTTTTACTTTACACAAACCCTGTCTCCTAAAACTATTTTTTTTTCTCCGTACAACTTTGTCCGGGTGTCCAAAATGTCAATCTCCGTACACCCTTCGTTTTTGTTTCTTTTTTTTTTTTGTTTTTGTTTTGCTTTTTGTTTTTTGTTTTTTTTTTGGTTTTTGTGTGTGTGTTTTTGTTTTGTTTTGTTTTTTCGTGTCAAAAGCCCCAAATTATTTTCAAAACAATTAGTTTCCTAGATTTTAATTTAAACCTGTGAAATTTGGGATCTTTCTCTTAATTAGGGGAATATCAAAGACAAGTGTTAATTGCTCTTTGGTTGAGTTCATCCTAATTCTAAAACGGAGAAATCGATTAAAATTTACTGGCATGGTACAATTAAGATGGAAAAAGACACCCCCCCCCCCAATTGTTTTCATTCAAACAATAGAATATAACGGAAAAATAATCCTGTATTGAGGCCTGCAGTAAAATATCAAAATTTACAAATAAACATGTACATATATAGTAGTCTTGAGTACGAAAGCCTATTAGGATCAAACTAAGGTAAAAAAAAAATTTAAAAGGCGTTATAACGCCTTTTCAAAAGGCGTTATAACGCGAAAAAAGGCGTAATAACTCCTTTTGAAAAGGCGTTATAACGCGGGAAAAGGCGTAATAGCGCAAATAAAGGCGTTATAACGCGAAAAAAGGCGTAATTACGCCTTTCCAAAAGGCGTTATTACGCCTTTTAAAAGGGCGTTATTACGCCTTTCCAAAAGGCGTTATTACGCCTTTTAAAAAGGCGTTATTATGCCTTTCTAAAGGCGTTATTACGCCTTTCCAAAAGGCATTATTACGCCTTTCCTAAAGGCGTTATTACGCCTTTCCAAAAGGCGTTATTACGCCTTTCCAAAAGGCATTATTACGCCTTTCCTAAAGGCGTTATTATGCCTTTTAAAAAGGCTTTATTACGCCTTTCACAAAGGCATTATTACGCCATTTAAAAAGGTGTTATTACGCTTTTCCAAAAGGCGTTATTACGCCTCTTATTTTTCAATACATGACTTACTAGTATTTAGCCCACCCTGGGAGCTGATTATAATTAGATTTCCAGGAAAAAAGATTTTTAAATGTGTAAAATATTTTCAGTGTTAAACCAACTTAGTCCTTCTCTGATGCCAGACACCTTTACCAAGGTGCATGGATTTCAGAAATTTGGTTGAAGGCTAATTGCTCATTATACCTATGCAAATAGTCTGCCTGTCTTTTCCAAGAGGAGAGAAAAATATTTCAAATTTGACATGAATTTTTAATGCATGGCTAGCAAAGCCCAAAGCTGGCTCTGCCTATATCCTGGATTTTCAAAAGTAGAGTGTTGACTTCTCTTAATACGCATGCTAACAGCTGTCTGCGAGATGTACAGGAATATATAAAATACTATAATTTATTATATAATTTTTAATATTAAAACTATAATCTAAATATTGCATAAATAAAGGTGGCTTTGGTTCAATCTTTCATATATTTATTATTTTAAAATAACGCCTTTCCATTTTTGGATATAACTGCTTTTCAAACAAACAGGTCGGTAGTACGAATGCGAGTGGGGGGTGGGGTGTCCCTCCCCCCCCCCACTTTTTGGGAGAATAGTCTTGCTATAGTTTAAATACAAAAAATCATTTATTGATTGCTTGGTCCCTTAACATTTTGTTGCGGTATGGTTAAAATCGGGCAAGTCATTGCATTTAAAAAAAAGTTTTACCGAAAAGTTAGAAAAAGATTCCCTTTTAGGCAGTTTATTTTTTTTGGGGGGGGGGGGGGTGTTTCTTGTTTTTTTTGTTTGCTTGTCAATTTTATGGGAGGCTGCCCCCCCCCCTTCAAAATCACGGGCCTGTCAAAGACATAATAATGGCTCTTCAAAAGCCATAATAACGCCTTTTGGAAAGGCGTATTATTGCCTTTTAGAAAGGCGTATTAATGCCTTTTAGAAAGGCGTAATAACGCCTTTTGGAAAGGCGTAATAACGCCTTTTGAAAAGGCGTAATAATGCCTTTTGGAAAGGCGTAATAACTCCTTTTAGAAAGGCGTAATTACGCCTTTTTCGCGTTATTACGCCTTTTTCCGCGTTATAACGCCTTTTAATTTTTTTTTTACCTTAGTTTGATCCTAATAGGCTTTCGTACTTGAGTGTTCAGTATGGCGTGTAAAACATTGCAATATTATACTTTTTTGTTATTCCTATTCAAAAATTTTATTATTATTATTCTAAAACTTATCATTCCTATTCGATAAAATGTGAATCCTATTTGATAAGTTGTTATTCTTATACGAAAAAATGTGATTTTTATTCGATAATTTATCATTCCTATTCGATAAGTTGTTATTCCTATTTGTAAACATGTGTTTCCTATTCGATAATTTGTCATTTCTATGATTTCTATTAGATAACTTTTTCATTCTTATTTATATTCGATAAACATGTTATTCTTATTGAAAAACATATCATTCCTATTCGCAAAACATACAATTACTATTCGATAATCTTGTTATTCTTATTCGATAAATTGATCACTCTTATGCGACTTTTTTTCCCTCTTATTTATGTTTTCGAACAGGAATAATAATGTTTTCGAATAAGAATAACAAGTTTATTACACATTCCGTGGAGGCATCTTGTCTGGATGGTGTCTATAGCTAGGTTGTTTGTCATCTTCAGGACCCAGAGCCGTATTAAGGAGAAATCCAATAACATTGGTCTTGAAGATTCATAAAGCTAAGTTGTAATGAAGAAGTTACTAGTATCTCACAATCTAAAGACATTAGCTTAAGTTCTATATTGGGCTAAAAAAAAAAAAATAAAAGAACAAATCAATTAAGAGACAGATAAATAAATAAATAAATAAATAAATAAATAAATAAATAAACGATCTCTTAAAATAACGATTGTTTCGTTGAGAGGAAAATCCCGTCCATTTTTTTTTCTTCGTGTTGTGTTTGCCGAAATGCCCCCCTCTTATTATGATTCTACAATTCTGTTCAATATAAATTTCAGACTGAAACGATGTCGATATTATGTCTCTCTGAGCGAAAATTATTTGTAGATATTTATAACTACAGGTTGAATTTTTATCATATTTTATTTTATGACTTTGGGCCCTTAATTCAGGTAAAAGTTTCTGTATTGATGAAATCCTCAGGCCTTCCAAGTCATGAAAAAGGGTTTTTGATACATACTCTCAATTAATCTTAACCTAATCAATGCCCTAATCATTTCCCTGTTTGTGATCTAGTGTCATTCATAAAAGATCGAGATGAAATACAAAATAGAACAGGACCAATACCCCACATCCTAGATTGCAAGCACTTGTCTTCATCGTGACGTTAAACAATTGTAACGTCATGCAGAATTTTCAATATTAGAATATCGCATCAACCCGACAATATCTAATGTCCTTTCTGCTCTTCTCTTTCATCTTTTTTTCTGTCTCTGCATCAAAGAAAATGACATGCATGCAAAGTGTACATAGTTGTAATATTTGTTAAATAAATAACAAAAATAGCGAAGATTTGGAGATTATGGGAGTCCATTTTGATAAGAAAGTATAAAATGCTCAAAAAGAATCAACAAATAATCCAAATCAAAAATGTTTTGAAGAACAAAAAAAATAAAATGAAATTTTTTTTAGGTTTTTTTCTTTTTCTTTATGTAAAATTTATCCGAATAATCGACCAATACTTGTCTATCGGTTTGATCACATAAAAACACATGAAATAGTTAAAAGACACAAATGATATTCCGTAGGCCTAGAAATATCGATGAAGCAGGGAATAGTATGGCCGATGTCTGGGTCGGAATATTGGAGGAGAAGAATGTCTTTATTCCAACCGATCCTCGGCTGTATATATTTGATTCTGTCATCATTCACAGGTAAGATAAACTATTAATTATTTTCTATCAAAATTATATGCCAAATTCTAAATTAATCCTGATTTTAGACAGACATTAGAGCAAGGCATTAGAATAATTATCATAAATGCAGGTTATTTTTAGTGTGTTCTGAAGACTTTGATAACATATTATATTTTCAGTTATATCTATATTATATTTTTGTTTTTATTTCACTTTATTGTTTTTTGTGGAAATTACCATGCCAGACGGATTGACACTCGTTAAAAGCCCCAGTAACCGTTCACCAAAGGTCATGTTATGTCGCTTGTCTAGACGGTTGTTTGGAACACCTCTAGACTTGCCCTAATTTGCAATACACAAAATTTAACATAATAGTTCGTAAAGAGGGACGCAGTGCAAGATACACACATTAGAAGAACATATTTATAATATATGACATTGTGATGGTATTACGTGATTATTTTACATAGGAAATATTATTGCTTTAAGCTTTGTACTGAAGAAGGGAATAGAGATGCCACAGATGGCAGATTTTATTTTTTTTTAAATCAGAAAATTTTAACAATTTTATTAGAAATCAATCACTGCACATTAAAATATTTCTCAAAGAAAGATTCTCCAAAAAAAAAACAAACAAACAAACCAAACAAACAAATCCAGATAATCTTTGTACCATACATACATTTTTTTGTTGTTGTAACTTGTTGCTGAGTTAAAGTACAGTCAAACCTTGTGAACTCAAAGTTGATTGGACCAAAAAAAAAAAAATTCTGAGATTCCAGGCCTGGAGGTTATAAAACATTTTGAGTACTCAAAATTTTTAAAATTTTGAGCATGAGTATGTTTTTGGAGCACAGGCACTTGGGGTATGGACCCCCCCCCCCCCCCCTTTCCATTTTTTTTTCTTTTTAAATCTGGGGTCGAGTAACCTTTTTCCTATTTTTGTATTCTAATATGCACTGTATGTTATCAATAATGTAACTCTTTTGTCTCTATAAGCTGTTTTTAAATATGTCGTTTTCGACTGATACACAAAAAGAGAGAAGGCTTGCAACTCTTTTCTCATCGTCTGCCTCACCTCGCTTAAACTTCGCCTAATTATTTATCGAAAGCATAAGAAAACATGGTATATGCATACATCAATAAATTCGTTATACATTCTTCTTCCTTTTCATATTTCCATTTAATTTTTATGTGCCCCCGATTTGTAAATATTTCGATTAAATCACCCTCATCTAGGGTAAATTTTGTTAATGTGCACCAGCTGGGACGGAAGTGCCCGGTATTTTCGGGTATCATCATTACGTGTAATGTCATTTGGAACATTAAATGCGAGAAGGAATAAATCCCGAATTTTCTCTTCATATAACGTGTAACGGTAAGTTCTGTGAATAACAAGATAACCGTAACTAGCAAATTCTAATGGATGAAGATTAACTTTTAACAGACGACCTAGACAACCAAATTTCACAATATTGTTATTGCAAAGCTTGGAATTTTTTTTAAATGCAGAACATTTATAAAGTTAGAGTTACCGTTATTGCACTTCCGTCCCAGCTGGTGCACATAACAAAAAACACCCTAGATGTGGGTGATTTAATCGAAATATTTACAAATCGGGGGCACATAAAAATTAAATGGAAATATGAAAAGGAAGAAGAATGTATAACGAATTTATTGATGTATGCATATACCATGTTTTCTTATGCTTTCGATAAATAATCAGGCGAAGTTTAAGCGAGGTGAGGCAGACGATGAGAAAAGAGTTGCAAGCCTTAATTCTCTATTTTATGTATCAGTCGAAAACGATATATTTAAAAACAGCTTATAGAGACAAAAGAGTTACATTATTGATAACAAACAGTGCATATTAGAATACAAAAATAGGGAAAAGGTGGCTGGACCCCAGATTTAAAAAGAAAAAAAATGGAAAGGGGGGGGGGGGTCCATACCCCAAGTGCCTGTGGTTTTTATTTTCAAGTTTGAAAATTGCCGATGTCATTAATTTTTCATTGTTCGAACTAACTTTCCCTTTTTAGACCTAAAAAAAAAAACAAAAATGGTTTGCGAAGATAGTCCATTAATGAAAGTCAGAAAAAACAGTTCTATCCTTTTCCACAAAGAACCAAATTAAAAGTACAAGACTTTATTCATTGTAACAATATAAATGATGAGTCTGCATCAAAGCAGAGACGTTACATTTATCACAACATCTGAAGCAAATGCAGAATAAACAAAAGTACCGAATCATTTATATTATGTTTATATATTAATTTCAATATAAATGAAAATATGATTTTACATTGGTTTCAGTAGTCAATAATGAAGGATGACAGTGCCCAAATTAAAAAAAAAGAAATGTTACTGGAATTTTACGCCACAAGATACTGACTGTAGAAAATACAGTTATATGTTATTATAAGTTGCATGAGGGAAAAAACCCACATCTTAAAAAATGTTTTCATTTTTAATTTAGGGTAAAATCATAGAAAATATAAATCAATTTTCTCACTAAATAAATTTTGATTATATTTGGTTAATTGATCAGATTATATCTCTGATTAATCCAATTATCAATATTTTTTTTTCTCCAATTGCTCATCACTAGCAGTCAGTGCTCTAGCCACATTGTCTTGGGTTTTTCCAGCCAACAGTAACTGCAATGCCTTGCTGCATGCATTGTTAGATAGCGTAGGCATACTTTATGCAATATGATAAACATTCAATGTTAGACTATTCTTACCAGATACCTGAAGGATAAAAAACAGGTCTGAGATGCACAAAGTGTGTAAAATAAAAAGTGGTTTCCAACTTTCAACTCGATTTGACATATCCATGGTATTTGAGATATTGATTGTTCTATATATATATATATATATATATATATATATATATATATATATATATATATATATATATATATATATATATATATATACCTAAATTCAACTACCCCAGTAAATATTGATTGTTCTATATACCTAAATTCAACTAAATATCTTGTGACATAAAGTGATTGTAATACTGTGGTATGTATAATCTATTAAGTATTAATGGTAATCATAATCAAAGGTCACATCTGACTATCAAAAGACATAAGTAATCACATTTTTATTATTTTATACAAGGTAAGATGAAAGAGTTGAGATTTTTTTTTAAAGATTTTGATATTGGTATCATGGTAAAATGATTGTATATCCATTGCATTATCCAAGTGTGGCAATTGATGGGCCATCAGAATATTAATTCAGAAATATGTATTATTGAGTAGGATTTTCTGCTTTCGGGTGTTTGTACTTCATTAGTGCAGAGTATCAGTAATTTTAGATTGAGGTCACCCATTTTCCCAATTTAAATGAATCAATGTTGAAGGAATTGTAAAAAAAAAATGAAATACACAAGAGATGGAAAACCTTATTTAGACTAGCCTAGGGGACTTATTTGGAAAACATTAGCATAATTTACCATTTTCTGTTGCATACTTTCTCCTGTTCATCGGAAAAGTTCAATGAAAAATTCCATTATTGATCTCCTGATCAGCTGAATAATTTGACTTTTCTAAAATAAAATACATGAACAATAATTCATAAAATTTTTAATCCAAACACAAAATTACTGGTTGCAAAATTTTTAATACTATAGGAGAATCATGATTTCTCAAGTACATTTTTTTGACTATTTATAAATAGGGATGGTAACGGTTAATTGGTTCAAACTCCAAGGTCAAGAGTTCAAAAATGAAATCAATGTACCCAAAGAAAAGCCAAGGTTAAAGTTTTTCAAATTTAGGTTAAATTTCATGCAAGGATGTGTCTATCAAAAGAAGATGAAAGACAAAAGAAGTTTCTGAACATGCCTTTGTTATATTTCTATGTGAAATGCTATAGCAACATATAAGTCATGATATTATATAGATATTAACTTCAAATCTGTGTCCAGGCCCCTTCAAAATCTCCTCCTCAACAACAGCAAAGCCATGATGAGTCATATTGATATGGAAGAATCCTCAGGTACATGTAGTTTAGATTCAGATTCGTTCAGTTCTGGGGAAAGGGTGAGGCCACAATGAGTTATCAAATTTTTACATAGGAATATATAGGAATTTTTTTCAAAAAATGTTCTCAAGAACAACAAAGCCATGTTTAGTCATATTGATATGGAAGCATCTTCAGGTTTGTAGATTCAAGTTTTTCAAATCATAACCCCAAGGGTTATGGTGGGGCAAAAATGGGCAATTGGTGTTTTACATAGGAATGCATAGCAAAAAACTTAAGATATCTTCTTCTCAGGAACAGCAAAACCATGATTAGTCGTATTGATATGGATCGAGGCATTCTCAGTTAGTGTATATTCAAGTTTGTTCAATTCATGGCCCCCAGGGTAAGGGTGGGGCCACAATGGGCAAATTTCAAAGTTTTACATAGGAATATATAGAAGAACTTTAAACATCTTCTTCCCAAGAACAGCAAAGCCATAATTAGTCATATCTATATGGAAGCATCTTCAATTAGTGTAGATTCAAGATGAGTTTGTTCAAATCAGTACCCCTGGGATTTGGGTGGGGCAATATGTGATCAAAGTCTTAGGAAAAGAATCTTCAGTTGAAGAACAGCAAAGCCATAGTTACTCGGGTGAGCATTGAGGCTCATAGGCCTCTTGTTTTATTAAAGTTTCCCTTGGTCTTTCTTTGCTTCTACATTGTCCTTTCACATGCATGTACATTGTCATCTGCATATAGAATGCAATGAATGCCTTTTTTGTCTGCCATGTTTTGTCCATCCTGTTAGATGTAAGCCATTCTTTTATACAGGTCACCTGTTTTTCCAGCCTTCTATACATATGATTTGTCAGTGTAATTGTATTGTCTGTTTTAGTGAAACTCTTCCTAACATTTATGATAAAGTTTTTAAATAGAATGTTTGTTTGTAAGTAATATACCAATTAATACATATGTATGTACGTGTATTGGTTTTCGCTAGTTTCCCTTTTAAAAATTTATTATGCTTCAAGAAGCAAAGACATTTTTCAACATTTTGATGTAGATGGATCTGTGAAAGTGTTCACGTTGACACTGAAGGTGACTAAGTCCCATTAACTTTTAATGAAGCTGGTTCCATCATTGAGATGAATTTATGTGGATGTGACTTTTATGTTAATGCCTGTTATGTAGATATGTGTGGTACTGTATTGATTTAAACCATGCATATATACATGATGTATCTCCTCTTAGACTAATAAGTGCCTAATTAGTACCCTTGGGTGCTTAGAAAATTGGTCAAGGGTTTTAAACATTTTTTAAATGAAAGAAATGGCATACATTACAGAAAAGGAATAAGCTTTTTTCATTCTGAATTTGAAGGTATTGACATTAGATGGACTGAATAATATGATTTAATTTATATTAATATACATAATTACACATTGGACCTGGAGTGTATGTACTCCCCATCAGTAAAATGTACAATACACGACAAACTAAATGGAAAATAATTCAAGCTGACATTAATATTTTTTTCAATTCAAAACAGTTCTTAAATATGAACACATGTACTTAAAGAGATGGGGAAAATTAGTTCACACTTTAATTGTGCTATTCATTGATATATAAGTACAATTTACATATACATTTTACAAGTATTTCATTTGTCTGTATACTATTAAACAATTAAGCCACAAGTACAATGAGAAGCATAACGATTTAATTATTTATTCAGTGAACTAGGTGGATTGCAGTAGAAAAGGATGATTTGTTAATTAGAAATCAAAACAAGTTGCTTAATTATAAGACTTCAAAAATTGATGAAATCAACAGGACAGAATAGTTTCTCCAATCTTTTAAATTTCAGTTTAATGCAGTAAGCTTTTTTTTGGACTATGATATGTCTGTAATTTTTTTAGGTAACACATTTGGTATCGTGTGCCAAAGATATGTATCATTAGAATCATCACCTGGTAGTAACCATGACAACCAGACAATAGACTGCCCATTTGCCTGCTTTGCGTCATGGCGACAGGAAAAACCCGATCATGTGATTGTTCTGCAACAGGGTGAGTCATACATGAAAATGACATAGATCAAACTTCCTGTTACTACTAAATTAAGTAACTGCAGTTTAACATAAACAAAAATCCATCATTAAGGTTTTTCTTCCCTCAGGTTCTTGTATTTTAGCAGCTGAGTCATTTTTAAATACTGCAATACTCACTAAAAGGCCTTTGAATTCACCAAGTTATGTGTTTATAAATGCTTTTTCTTTCTGGTAGGTCATTATAAATCATATGTTAGAAACATGAAAACCCAGAATGCCTCAGTGGGGTCAAATATTCATGAAAAAAAATATATGTTTCAAGATTAAATTGTAACATCAAGGGAGAAAATGCAGTGACCATGCAGACAAGGATTTGAACATGGTTCCAGTCCCTCACATTTCCCCCAGTTATAAAACTGACACACACACTAGGATTTGTATAATGCTACAAGTATTATAATACTTTTGTTTTATAGTGCTCTCCCATACCCACATTATTATATATTATATGAGATTGTAAATAGATGTAGAAGTTTTAATATGCTTTTTTCCCATGTATTTTTTTTTGTCTCAAAATAATGTCAGCTATGCCTGAAAAAAAAATTTATACAGTCAAACCTCGTTATCTCGAACTCAATTGAACCAAGAAAAATCTTCAAGATATCCAAGGATTCGAGATGTCAAGGGTAAATTACATAAAGAATAAGCGGATGGGACTTCCAAGTCACTACGACATATCCATGGCAATCAAGATATCAGTGTTTGAGATACCAAAATTCAACTGTTGTTATTAAATTTTTTTCTGTTCTCTACAATAATGGCAGCAAAGACTGTACTTTTGCAGTGTTCTAAGTTGCTTATAAATACAAAAAGAAAAGAAGTAATGATAGTTTATGATATATGAAAGATTTTGCAAATCTGTGTGCATGTGTGGCAGTGAAGCACATTGGCAAGAACAAAAAGGCCACATGTGAAGAATTAGTTTTTGAAATTTATATTTTCCCTGGATATGAGTCCCCACCCTGTGACACTCCTCCCCCCCCCCCCCCCCCCAAAAAAAAAAAAAAAAGAAAGTGTAAATTATTTGACTTTACAGTATGTACCTGTTTGAAACACTTCAGCATAATAAGAAATGATAATCTTTCTTGATAACTCTCTGTTCCTTCTCAAGCTTTGTTAAAGACTAAACTTGTTTTGTAGGTTGCATGGGAAGTCATAAGGACGAATGTATGGTCACTTCCTGTCAACAGAATGTGAAGTCCAGCCAATCAGACCACAAGTTCTGCTGCTGCAGTACAGATCAGTGTAATATTGTCCAAACTGAAGGAGTCATTGTGACATATAAGACGTACAACACTGCCAAATTATCTCCCCCTGTCAGCAGGAAATCCTCGTCTTTGTTCCAGCAAGTAAGTCCATTAACTAATCAGATGTCAATTGAAATATGTTCTTTTGTCTTTATGAAAAACAAAACAATTTTAAGTGACAGTAAATGTTGTCGATAGGTTGATAGCTTCATTAAAAATCACCTGTCAAATGTTCATAAATATTAAAGTGGATTAAGTTGTCAAGAAACATGTCTTTTAAGGATAAGAATTTTAAAAGAAATTGAAATATAAGTGAAAAATTAAATAATTTTAGGCCTCCATAATCAAAGATTCAGGGCATATAGTTTTTGGTCTGTCTATTTGTCTGTCTGTCAGTACCAACATTGACCCTGTCCATGAGTTTTGAATGGTTAGTGCTAGGGCTTTCATAGTTCACATATGTATTCCTTGTGACAAAATATTTCTTTGGGTACCAATATTTTTGACCTTTTGACCTTAACCTTAGAGGTTGACCTAATTTAAAAAAAAAAATTAAATCTTTTTTTCTCAAGAACCACTTGGCTAGATGCAATAATGTAGCCCTCTCTGATATTTTTAACCTGATGTTAAAAAAATTTTTTTGGAGAGGGATACATTATTGCAGCTACACTTGGGCAGAAAAAATTAAACTTATGTGAAATCTTCCTGACATAGCATAGATTAATGCAAGCATTCTAAAGTCATCTAGATTTAAGTTTTTCAAATCATGTCCCACAGGAGTAGGGTGGGGCCACAATAGAGGATCAAAGTTTTACATGACAATATATAGTGGAAAAACATCTTTCAAAATCTTCTCAGTAATAGCATGGTCATGATCAGTGATATTTATAAGCAAGCATCCTTAGGTAGTGTACATTAACATTTGTTCAAATCAAGGTCCTGGGGGTAGGGTGGAGCCACTGTTCTGAGCAACAATTGGGTCAAGGTGACTCAGGGGAGAATTGTGGCTCATGGGCCTCTTGTTTAAAGTATACTGATGAGATTTTAAAATCGTTGTAAGTATTTACAGTGTTAGCATTTTGTTGAATTGTTTTTATAGCCATATAAACAGATCAACACAAAATGGCCATTTTACTCGGAGAATGATCAAGAATCAGCTATGAATGTTCATCCAGATATCAACAAAGGTAAAACATGCTACACTCATCATTCCTCCTGCTTAAAAAGCAGGGGGTGTATAGTGATGGGGTGTCCATCTGTCTATTCATCCATCCATTTAGATGTCCATCTGTCCATCCATCCGTTATGCTTTGGGGTACCCATCTCTTATCTGCAACTCCTCTTATACCACTGAATAAAATTTAATGAGACTTTCACAGAATTTTTCTTAAATAGTGCCATTGTGCACCTCCTATTTTACTTTCTGATTAGACACATATTTCGGGTTTACAATAGCAAAACATAGACACTGCCATTCTTTCTATAATATTGAGGGGTACCCATCTCTTATCCGCAACTCCTCCTATATCATGGAATAAAATTTAATGATACTTTTACAGATTCCTTATTACATATTGCCATTGTGCACCTCCTATTTTACTTTTTGATTTGACACTTATTTCAGGTCTCCCATAGCAAAACATGGACTTTGCCATTATAAACATATGGGAAGTGGGGAGGGGGGTATCATTTTGTGAGCTCATTGCACACAGCTTGTTAGACTGAAACCAGTGAATTGTGCATCTGGCCTACCAACAGAGGATAAAAGTCTTGTACAAACTTTCTGAAGAGCACAAATACTGTTACAGTCTAGCCTTGTTGATTCAGACACTTGTGTTCCTGAGCAAATCATCTGGATTAATGAAGTGATTGTATTTTTAGTATCTTGATTATAGAGGCTAGTCTGTACTGTAATTGCTGAAATCAGTTTGTCATCATTGTGTTTGCATTTAGTAATAATTATTTTACCTTTACTGATTCTTCCATAAATAAAATTAGATTGTTAGGTGTGAATAATTCCCTAGTGAATGGACTAATCCCTGTTTTGTTGTGAGTTAAGTCCAGTAAGCTAATCCCTGCTTCAAAATTTGAAAATACCACACAACACTTCCAAACTGAGAAGAAAAGTTTTAAAAATAAGGTACTGACTTACCCAATTTCTTCTAATTTTCTTGATTTTCAAGGTACCGGTATATTAGTAATTTTTCTACACTTCTTGTTTTTAAAGGACAAGATAGATTAAGACAACTTTTTGGCCCCTGGTTTGGAGTTTCTCTTAAAACAAAGCAGTAGTTCATAATGAGACCTATTGTCTTCCCAGTTTCAAAATGAGTACCATGCAGTATTGATTTTAAGTGACAGCATACAAAGAGGTCACAGAAAGCTCACAAAATTTGTCATTTACCAAAATTTCTTATTTTTTAATTCAAATTTTCAACAATTTAAAAGCACATTTTGTTTAAGAAAACAGAGAACACAAGCTTGCCTATCTACCAATTTTATATATTTCATACAAGTATAAGATGCATCTTATGTATAAAAATCTCAGATAGGCAAGTCTTTGCTCTATGTTTCTCAAAATGATTAGTATCTGAAATTTTTATAAAATTCCTTCAGAATTGAGGAAATTTGGTAAAACGTTCTATTTGATCACCATCTTGTGTTGATCATGTATGATTCAAATCAAAATTAATGCTGGTTTTAAAACAAGCACCATATAAAGTTCTTAATATTTTAACTGTGATATGATTTTTAGATTAAATAAGGGGCCAACTTCCACCTTGCCCATACTATGTACTCCTTTTTCTTATGATCAGATGTTATGAAGAAGTCATTAACAGATACAGAATGAAACAAAAACAAAAATTATAGACTATCATTCAATGAAATAACCTTAAAATATATTATGATTTTCTTACTGAGGATTTTATTGAAGCTTACAGGAACATGTAAATACCTACACTAATGATAAATCCAACCATATTAATTCTGCAATCTCTTGTGAAAGAAGAATATCAAAGATTTACTTACATTGACTGACAACAATCTTCCAATTTTGCTTTTGATATTAAATGTTCATGTTCAAAATGCTTTGGGACATGCTCATTTACATAATGCAAACTCGGTATTCAATAAATTGTCAAGATATTGAATGCTTAAATCTTCTAGATTGTAAGCAGTTTTTATTAAAGACTACTGTATACAGGGAAATTTTTGCCCCCATTTTATTTTTGCCCCTTTTGCCCTACTCTCAAGTAGGAGAATTTAAGACGGGGGCAAATTTAAAGAAGACAGTATAATTTCTTAAACAGAACTGTGACAGTGAATTTAAGATGGGGCAAAATTGTTTGCAAGTGTGAAAGGGCCTAAGTAATATGGGGCGAAAATAACCCTATATACAGTATTTATCAGCTAGTATGTTATAATAATGAATATCCTTTGTCATTCAGATTCATAAATTTCAGGATCAACTCTTACATGTGCTTTTTATGATCATCCAAACAACTTCAAAACATCCAAGATATCGAGCACTCCAATACTGACATCTGTTCAAGACTCTACCACACAGGAAATGGGGAAACAGCTACAGAAATGTGAGAAAGAGGATGACTCCTGCTTTACCATCTGGTCATACGACCAGGAAAATGACACAGAGTCCTTGACAATTATCAAACAAGGCAAGTACGAGATTAAAGGTCTCAGCAGTGTAAGAAATGTGAAATTCTATATGCTCCTTTAAATGTGTTTTTTGGTGAAGGTAACGTACAAATGGCTCAAATGTGTAGCTACAAGATTGTTCAAACTATGGTTTCCAAAGCAGAATAGGTTATTTTTTTAATGTAACATAATTTTGAAAAAAATATATATCCCAGAGGAGCAAGGCTATAAGATGGCAAACAAATGTCATTGTGCAGTGTAATTCCAAGTTGTTTGCATCAATAAAAAAAGACTTTGAACAGGTGGAAAAGAGGAATGCATAATGTGACCTGGAAAAAATTTTCTGATGAAACTTAAATGAGAACCAAGGGCCACTTTGATATTCCCTTTTTTATATACCCCTGCGAATAAAAATTGAGGGGGGTCATATAGGCATCACCTTTTAAGTGTCAGTCCTTCTGTCTGGCCATTTGTCTTTTCTGATCACAGTTTGTTCAGCATCCTCCTGTTCTTCTGTCTGTCCATCTATCTGTCTGAAAACTTTTCACATTTTTGACTTCTTCTCAAGAACCATTAGGCCACTTTCAACCAAAGTTGCCACAAAACACCCTTGGGGGAAGGGAATTCAAGTTTGTTCAAATAAAGTACATATTCTTCCAAGGAAGATCATTATGAATTACCGGTAGTGAAAAATTAATGGCATTTTCAAAAAACCTTCTCAAGAACCACTGGACAAGAAAAGACAGAATTTACGAGGAAGCATCTACAGGTAATATTTTGTGAATGATGCAAGTTTGTTCAAATCCTGACCCCTGAGGATAGAGTGGGGCCACATGGGCGATCAAAGTTTACATAAAAACACACATCTTTAAAAATCTTCTTCTCAAGAACAGCAAAGACATGTTTAGTTTAGTCATATTGATATGGAAGCATTCTCAGACAGTGTAGAAATCATGTCCCCCAGGGGTAGGGTGGGACCAAATGGGTGATCAAAGATACATAGGAATATATAGGAAATTATCTTTGAAAATCTTTTTCTCAAGAACAGCAAATGCATGATTTGACATAGAACTACCATACCAGAAGAGTTGAAACTTGAGTGAAAACTATGTCACAAAGTGTAGATTCATATTTGTTCAAATCATGGCCCCTTGGGTAAGGTGGGGCCACAATAAGCAATCAGTTTTACTTTTGGGTGATCAAAGTTGACATAGGACATGTAAAAAAAAATCTTTAAAAATCATCTTCTGCAGAATGACAAAGGCATTAGCAATATTAATATGGAAGCATACTCAGGTAGTATTGATTCAAGTTTGTTCAAATCATGACCCCCATGGGTAAGGTGGGGCCACAATAGGGGTCAAAGTTTTACTTAGGAATGCAAAGGGAAAAATTGCTGATAAAGAACAATTGGGTCTTAGTGACTCTTTTGAGAGTTGTGACCAATAGGCCTCTTGTTTGAATTATCTCCCTTTGGAAGAGGATATGGATTTTCATCTGAACAAACCTGACCCCCTTCACCCAAGGATACTCTGTGTGTTTGGTGAAATTGGCCCAGTGGTTCTGGATAAGAAGTTAAAATGGTGAAACATCTCCAACAACGATGACAGACAACAGACAAATTTCAATCAGTTCGCTTGAGCCTTTGGCTCAAGTGAGTCAAAAATCCTTTAAAGTCCTTTTTACTTTTAGGATGTTTCCAGTCTAAGCCAGACAATGGTTGGTGTAGTGAAGGTGTTTGTAAGTCGAGTACTCCATACAAAATGTTAGGTACACACAAAAGAGCCAAGTTCTGTTGTTGCACTGGGAGCCTGTGTAACAATAACATCTCAGATGTCAATGTCAGTGTGTCATCTCCAGTGGATACTGTCACTCCAGGTTGGTATTTGTTTCACTGGAATCACTAGTGAGTCCAGACCTGCTTACCCTTCTGCTTTTTGCATGTTTCTTCCGCTTAATCACTAAATTATGCTATCAGGCAATGAAAATCAATTTTATGCTTCTAAATTTTCATGCTTAATAATCCTGTTATGTAGTTTCTTTTTTATATTTATGAACAACTTGTTTTTGATTTTAGGTACACCATTACTTATTAGGTTTGTGATTGACTACAGAATCAGGTTGATCAATCTCATAGACAGCAAGGTGGAGTCAAGCCATCTATGAGATGGATCAACTTGATCTAATTTCATTGGCAGTCAGTAACAAATCTGATAAGTTACTGGGTATTTATTTTCTTGAGGAGCATAGTGTAAGAGACAAAAACACAAGACAGGCCTGTAGCAACATTTATTAAAGTGGGGGAGGGGGGGGGGGGACAGAAGCAGTTTATAAAAAAGACCCCCCCCCCCCCAATGACATGCAAGAAAAAACATTAACTGCTAAAACTTGGGAGGGGTTAAAGTCTTCCTCTAAATCTGTTGAGGAATTTTCTAATGCAATTACATGGCACACTTTCCACCCTACTGCAACAAAAAGTGTTGGGGCAGGCACAGCATTTCAAGCAAAACACTAACAATAAAACAGTGGGAGCCCCCCCCCCCCTCCCCTCCTGGACCCCCTTAGTATAATGGGTCTGCAAGAAGTAATAATCAAGATGATTCAATAAAACATATTTTATTACAAAATGTAGGTGTCTGTTACATCTCACTATTGATAGTATCCTGTTTTGTCTAATTACCGGTACATCAAGCTCTTCAAAATTATCAAAGTCACTGGCATGGTGCAGTGGTTAGAGCATCTGCTCTAGAGTCACGGAGTAAGGAGTTGATCCTTATGTCACGGGTTCGAATCCCACTGTGGGACGTGGAGACTGGTCCTTCGGATGAGACCGTATAAGCCGAGGTCCCATGTCACAGTGGGTGCTGGCACGAAAAAGATCCCTCACTGCTCAATGGCCATAAGTGCCGAGTATAGGACAAAATTTGCAGCTCTTCACCAACAAGTGGTGGCGTCTCCACATGAGTGAAAAGTTCTCGAGAGGGACATTAAAACAACATACAAACAAACAAACAAAATTATCAATCTTACCTTCTACCATCAAGAAATCTTCATAAGTCTTTGAGGTACCTTTATTTAGTACTTAAAAAAAATTCTTCTGTTTAGATTCTGATTTAAAATGTTTTTCCTCTCTTGCTCGATGCAACCATCACTTGTAATGCAGTCAAAACAAATCTGACAAAAATTTCTTAAAGGGTCCGCTACTCTAATTTCAAAAAGAAAACATTATGGAAAATGGTTTCTGTAAAAAATGATTTCTTATATCAAAATGTAAACATAACACATTGGCCATATTGCTAGATATTAATTCTCACCAGCTGGACATAGAATTATAGCCAACAGTCATGTGTCACGTTTAAACCAGTGAATGTGCAACATTTCAATCTGAGAGAAAATAAATAATGATGTTGTACATGTAGAAGATAGTCTAAAAATATGAATTTCTTTTTTCCTTTCTGAATCAGTGTACTGGTATTTTCTTATTGAACAGGCACCTGATAAAATGGTAAAATAGCCCAAAATGTTGTATCCAATATTCTGAAAAATTTTCTTCATTCAAGCTTTTTACAAATTTCTGCTGTTTTTTTTTTTTTTTTTTTTTTTTTTTTTTTTGAAATTTGGCACCAAAACTGTTAACTAACTTGATAAAGCAGGTTGTTGATTGGGGGATAAAAAAGATAACAAAGCTGTAAGTATCTAAGTATTAGGCCATTAAGTCATTACAACAGATTATAAACAACAGGGTTGTATAAAGAGTGTGATATAGTAATATTTAG